GCGCATACCTAGCATTGACTGAGCCGAGAGGGAGGTGCCGGGGGAGGAAGAAGATGAGACAGCCCGGCTTCCAAGGAGCTCACAGTCCCAGGCAAAAGCAAACACCAGGAGTATAACACCCCGCATGGATAAGCATCAGCCATATGCCAGTCTCCTTTGCTTACCCTATTAATAGCAGCAATGTGGGGAAATAAGCCTCAGAGAGGCTAAGCCTCATGCCAAAGGTCACACAGCACTGCGGTTTCCACCACTGGGCAGGCTTGATGAGCACAATGACAGGGATATGACCAGATGGGGGTCTTCTGACCCACCTCGGTTAGGGAACGGGGGAAAGCCTTCTCAAGGAGGTGTGGTCCAACCTCAACCTTGAAAAGCGAGCTGGTTGTGTCCAGGGAAATGTGGAAGCCTCAGAAATGAAGGAATCAAGGGACACCATTTGGGTGGGGGAGACGGCACAGGTGAAGGCAAGCAGGTGGGAAGCGTGGCGGCGCCTTCATCCCTCTGGGCTCCACCGCATCAGCGCAGTCTCTCCCCACCTCATTGGTTGTGTGTATCGGTAACGTCTGCTGTGCTCTCTCGGTGAGGAGAGGAGGGGGCCTCTTCTCTGCGGGTTTGGGGGCCAGGAACACAGAAGGGGAAGGAGGCCTGAATCAGTGGGCCGGTCAGCTCGGTGCTGCTGGGTGGGAATAGTTCGTGAATATCCAAGTCTGGCAGGAGGCGGGGCACGTATGACCTTGATTCTGCATATGGTGTTCAATGTCACGGTGAGGAAGGGGCTAGAAGACTCGAGGATCCGCCTGCCATCTGCCTTAATCAGCCCAGCAGCCCCCTGGGCGGGGAGGATAGGGCCATCTGCTCGGCATCTGGGTAAACTGAGGCACGGAGAAGGTAAAGCGGGTTCGGAGGAAGACGTGTGCTCAAAGATACACCGTCATGGCCTTTTCTTGGTTTGCCCATCTACCAAGACCTCTGTATGCTAGAGTCTCCTTGGATACAAAGTTGGCCTTCATCTGTTTCAAAATCAAGAGTATCGACGTTGGATTCGGGGTAACATTGAAGCCTGACACTAGAGCAGAGGTCATACACTCCAAGTGCTTCTGGATATTCTGAGAGAGGCACTTCCTTCTCCTAGGAAGTTGGTGCGGGAGGCAAGGCAGCCAAGATGACCCCCCATTACAGATGAGGAAACTGAGTCAGGGGAGACTTGCCCCAGAGCACCCTGCCCGAGAAAACAGCAAGGCAGGAATGGGAGCTCGGGTCCTCAGACCCCAGGCCTGTGCCTCTAGACAGGATACAGGCAGCCTCTCTTTGGAAGTTTCCAGAAGGCCTCAGGGATGCCAGCTCCCAGCTCCACCCCTCACTCCTGGGACCCCTGCATGCTCCTGCTCCTCACCCCCACCTGCGGCCTCGAAGCACCACTTAACCTGCCCAGATCCCCCGGGAGCATCAGCAGGGAGTTGAACCCAAGACTGAGCAATTGTGTCGAGCAGCAGTTTCTCAGACCAAACCCCGCATGCATCTGAAGCGCCTGCGTTGCTCGTTAAAATGCATTTTCTGGCTCAGTCGGTCTGGGGCAGGGCCTGGGATTCTGTATTTTTAACAAGGTGAGTCCAAGGACCACACTCTAGGGGGCAAGTAGGTACCTACAGAATTGCTTCCAACACCATCCGCCTGGCCTGTGGCCAGCACCGTCTCTCCCTCTCTCTCTCTCTCTCTCTCTCTCTCTCCCTCTCTCTCTCTCTCTCTCTTCCCCACTGTCGCCCCTCCTCACCGCCTCTCTCCTGAGGCTCAAGGGTTAGCTCTTGTCTCAGAGGCACAAGAAGAGAGTTTCGGGGCACCGTGGGGCTGCCTCGCACACCCAAGCCCGCAGGCGTTGAGAAGCCTTTGTGGGCACCGCCTCTCCCGCCCCCTGGACGCTGCAGCGGCCCGGCCGGGCCCCGGGGTGGAGGGCAGAGGGCTGTCTGTCCTCTCCGGCAGCCCTCATTGAAATTTTGCCCTTGCCCTCGGATCCTCTGTGGAGAGCTCATCCCTATTAATTCTCATTGTGCATTTAGAGCCAATAGGTTTTTATTTATTCATTTATCTTGGTCTTCTCCCCCCTCCCCTTCCTCACCAGGCTGGAATTTACAATTCAGTTCTCAGGTGGCCTCGCGGAAGGACAGAAGGACAGGAGGCCTGGCGGGAGGGAGGGAGGGTCTGCACACTGGACCCTGCAAAGGGCGGCTGCCGCTTGGCCCGTCTTGCACCCTGGGGTGCTCCAGGGCTCACACTCCAGTCGGCCGGATGTTGGGACAGGTCGAAGTGCAGGAGTGCTCGGAAAACAGGGTCCCACAGGGCGCTTGCCAGGCTAGAGGGGCCGAGGGCGGCTGGCTAGTGGTGGGGCGCCCCCTCGTGGTTCCCGTCGCCTGCCGTGCCCGGAGAAGCTCAAGCTCCCTGGCCCTGCCGCATAGCCCTGCTGCCCAGAGACTAGAAATACAGGGCGTGGCGTCCTCAAGGCTGAACAGAGGGAAGAAGAGAAGCCAGGGACACCGCTGAGGGCGTCCTAACAACAATCGTAAACGCAGAACACCTACTGCACATTGAGCCCCTACTGTGTGCCAGCACAGCGCCCAGGCCTGGCGTGGCCAGGTGGCATTCACTTGCCGCCACTGTGACGCGCAGACGGCATTACCTCTACAGGGGAGGAGGCTGCGGCTCAGAGGGGCAGGCTGAGCCACCTGGTGGGGGAGCGCAGCCCTCATTGCCAACCTGTTACCTGCCTGCCTTCTCAACTGAGTGACCTTGGCAGGATTTAGGCAAACCTTTCTAAGCCCTAAAACAGGATTAGATTAGAACAGTCCCCACCTCAGAGCGCCCCAGAGATGATTACATGAGACACACACAGGAGGTGCTCAGGGGAAGGGGATGGGGGGTTGAGTCCATCTGGAGGGGAACCCCCCCGCTCCCTGCAGAAGCCAGCCCCCACCTCCACCTGCCAAGGCAGGGCCCCCTTCTTGTTGGCTGCACATCTGTAATCAAAAGCAGAGCAGGATGGCAGCCTGTAATGAAATATTTAGGTCCGACCAGACAGGTGTGGGGACACTGAGACCCATCTACGTGGGGGATGTTGAAGACATTCTTCCTCTTCTGTCTTCCTGGGAGAAAGGACGCCAGCTCCTCCCAGACCCCAGCGCTCAGTGACACCTGCCTGGGCTCAGGTGGGGGGGCAGCGTTAGGGCTGTGTATCGGGGGGTGGCCGGCCCCGCCATGGCAGCAGCACAGCTTCGGCCTCAGACTTGCATTTGACGGTCACGTCCACCCCTCAAGCCCTTGACCAGAAGCTGGTCCAATGAATTAGGATTTAGCTGCCCTGTCCCACACCCTTCATTAAGGGTGATTAATATCTAGGAGAAGAAATACAGTCAAGACTCTAATACGAGAGGCAGAGGTTGATTCTGTTCAGGGAGTATGCAGGGAAGTCTTCCCAGGAGCTGGGCTGGGTTGTCAGCCTAACGCCTGGGCTCAGAACTGGGCTCCGCTGCCCCTCGACTCGGCCTTGCCCCTGACCTTCAGGAGCCGACCCCCTTGCTCACCTCTGAGTCGGCGAAGCCCTGGGGTCCCCAGTGAAGCGATCCCTGTGAACTGTCTGGTCTCGGCTCCCGGCCCTGTGCTGCCTTCTTCCCTCCCTCCCCAGCTGGCTCCCTTGGCCCGGCCACCATCCCCAGTGACAGACTCCTGCTGCCTGTCCAGCTGGAAACTCTCCTTCCCAGGCTGACTGCTCTGTGATGGGGACGAAGCTCCCCATGGGACTGGGGCGTCCTCAGAGCCCCAGCGGGGATGCCTGCTCAGTCCAACCACAAGCCCAGAGCCCCAGAGCCTCCGTCAAGGACCCGTGGATGCAGCAGTCACCCCAAAGATGACCATGAGCCCCCCCTCAGCTCCCACGGCCCGGGAGTCCTGCCTAGGCTCTTGCCAGACGCGGGGCTGGGGAGGGACTCCCACAGCACCGCCCAGCGGGAAGTCCACTCTGGGCAGACGGTTTAGCTCAGTGACTTTAGAGCCAGACATATGAGTCACAGCTCCAGCACCTCCTGGTGTGTGACCGTGGGACTCAGTTTCTCCATCTGTACGACAGGAGTGGCAACAGCTAACCTCTAGGGGGCGCTTGCTCCGCGCCAGGCACTTCACAAGGGACGAATTAGCACACTTACTCCTACAATGCCCATTTTACAGACGATGGAACGGAGGCTCAGACGTGCCACTCGTTCAGAGCCCACACCCTGGAACGCTTCCTTCATACAACACAGAGTCAGCCTGGCGGAGCCCAGGACCTGCACCCCAGGAGCTCACACAGATGCCCCCCCGCCCCGCTATTACTATTACTGGTCCTATTGATAACACCGCCCGAGTACTCCGTGGCTGTACGACCCCATCCTTCTCTAATTAAGGGCTCAAGTGACAATACGTGAATGTCTGCTGTGCCCCTGACTTAGCCAGTGCCTACAGTCGCCACACACCAGGATGGAAAAGAACACCCGCCACCAGACCGGTCCAACCCGGCCTAACCCCCTCCTGCCACCCACCTTCTGCACTGCCAGCAAACCTGCCCCTGAGAAGTCCCAGCTGGGGGCGGGGCTTGCACCGGCCTGGCAGAAGCATTTGCTGGAATGGAGCAGGTGCGAGTAGAGGTGCACTGTGCGCGCAGGGGATGGACAGGGTAAAACATGGCAAACAGTGCCTCGCCCTCCCCTCTCCCTCCACTCCCTCCCCCCACCACCAAAGCTGACCTCCTGACAAGGGAGGCGGGGCTTGTCTTCGCAGCCACCAACTATCACTCCTATGGGCTTCCCGAGAGGAAACAATCCAGTGGTCAGCGGGCCAAGAACGAGGTCACATGACCTCAGCGTCCCAGGGGGTGGCCTTTGCTTTGGCACTGCTCCAAGGTGGGACAGCCATTGTCCTGCCCTCCCCCCCGCCCCCCACTCAGCCTGAGCGAACAGAACAGCAGTGGGCTGACTTACGTGGGAGCAGAATCTCTCAGGGGGGTCCCCACACGTGATGCCTGAGGGCTCCACCTTCACCTTGACGTAGTCCTTGAGCCGCATCACCTTGGGCTGGCAGGCATAGAACTCCCAGGTGGGGCCCTCGTCCGTGGTCACCCAGGACTTGCAGATGTCGTAGTCCCCAGAGGCCAGTGGGAGGCAGTGCAGGAACAGAGCCAGAAGGGGCAGCATGGCTGTAGAGTCCGCAGGGGCGTGGCCCGGAGAGGCCCTGGAGAGGCGGCGGCTGGGTCAGGCGGGACTCTCGGCCTCAGCATGGAAGGGCCACATCTGCCAGGCAGTGGGGGCTGGACGTCCCGGGGCCTCGAGCACTGACCGCAGGGTCGCAGAGAACCGGGAACTTGTTTCTTCCCGGAGGCCGATGCGGAAAACCCAGAGCAGCGTTTCTCAGACTGCTGATGGGCACATCAGAAAGGTGCCCATAACTTGGCGTCCTCCAAACCCGGGCTTTACACCTCTCCCGGAGGTGAACTGATCAAATCGGGCAGGCTCTCAAATTGTGACAGTGGATGGAAATGGGATAAGGAGCGAATCCGCGGGGATCTGGCATGAGGCTGGATCCGATTGCTTTTAATTTTTGTCCTTCTAATCAATCCAGGTCTTTAAAGGACCCTGAATGTGTGATGTGCTCAACACAACTGCAAAACAGCCCTCCGGCCTGCGTTGTAAAGATAAAATGAAATCAGGAGGTGTGCGTGTTAGCTGGAAACGTGTTCCCTCTGTGGGACTGGACTGGCACCTCAGACCCACAAAAGAGATTTCTTTTCACATGGGCTTAAAGCGACACCAATTGTGCGGCTGGACTACAACATAAAAAAGGGACTGAGGTTTCAACTGGGGAGCAGCTTACTGGGCTCTGCTTTGTGGGGACAGGGCCTAATGGGAGCCAGCTGACCTTGGCTGGTAGCCATCGGCAACTTATTATGAAGTTTCTCACACTTCAGCTCTCAATCCATCCAGGTACCCGGGGCGGCTTGTCTTTCATTGTTAAGAGGGGAGGAGAGAGAGCTCATTAGCAACAACACCTGCAACAAATTAAAAAGAGAAGGGGTGGGGGGTGGGGGGGGGTAAAGATGTATAAGAACAAAAGCTCTCTGGCAAAATGTGCAAAAAATGAGGCTGCATTAGCAAGGTCTCCTGAGAAAACTAGGTTATTTTTATTAATATCAGAGTTGCACATTTGGAGATTAGGCACGTTATCAAAAAGGTGATTTGGTTTCCCGCCCCCCTTTTCGGGGGCCGTTAGGTCGGCAGACGTGCCCCTGCTTTGGGGTCACCGGCTTTCAAAAAGGTCCTCAGGAGTCAAGGTTGAGTGACCGTGACCGACAAACCAAAGGGACAACGCTGTCATCGTGCGTGCATACGGGTCCGTAGGCCTAGGTATAGACAGACACAGCGGTCCGTGTGTGGACCAACGAGTAAGAACGAGGAGCCGATAAATCTCTCTCCAAATTCTGAAATGGTGCATTTCATTTGCAACACTAAGGCACTAGGGATATTGAGGGCTTCCACAGCAGTGACCCTGGTGTGTCCTAATGGGTTTTCTGATCAAGACCAAAATTCTGCAATAATCCTCGGAGGGAGTGTCCCTAAATGAGTCACCATTATGATTATTGCTTTACTATTTTAAGCTACTGATAATGATTTAAGAGCCCGAATAGCTATAACTAAGACAAATGTTACACTGTAGAAAACATGACTCTACTAATGTGCTGTGTTCCAAGACACTTGATACATTACCAGGGGACTTTGAGTCCAGCCAGTGTGGGATCCTGGCCAAAAATCCTAGCCAATGGGGCAAAGGTTATGTAATGAGTCACGGCAGAAGCTCCCGCATTATTAATCATTCTGGTTATTATACCCATGATTATTGCATCCAAATCCCCAAACTGCTTGGGCATCCGTGTGAACCTCAGCCTGATATTCACCTGACATCCTCTTGGGCCATTGCTCATGGAAGGTCTCTGAAGAGTTAATCACTTTTCCATGAAACCCAGTTCTCCACCCAGACACAAACACACTCCTGCCAAAAATGACAAACCGGGGAGGTGGACATTATCCAGAGAGGGCTGGCCGCTCACCTGGGCTCCCCGCAGAAGCCCCCAGCCAGTGCCCCACACTCCTGGTCGGGGAGGACTCATAAATCTGCATTAAGGCGGCCCCTGCCCCTCTCTCTGGCTGAAGGGCTCTTGATGGAGATGAATGGGGAGCCAAGGGGGACCACATTTTCACTGCTCACCTCTGGCTGTTTAAAGAGAAACCTGTTATAGAGCCTGCCTGGCCTTGAATGTGCTCCTTGCTAGAAACTCTCGGAAAGAACCCGCCTGGTGACTATTTTTACAACCTGAGAAAATGTAGTAAAAATAAAATAGCGCGGCCGGCAAAGGTTTGGATGCCTCTACCCAAGCTCCGTGCTGCCCAGAAAACAGCACGTCCCTAATTAATTCTTCCAGCCCCGGACTCCCAACTGTTCACTAACAGGTAGGGAGCTCCTGACGGCCGGCGACACCGGGTCGCTGGCTGCGGGCTTCCTTGATCTGCTCGGGGCTTGGACTGCTCCGGCTGCCAGACCGACTGCCGGGAGGCAGCGAGGCCCCGGAGGCCGGGAGGCCACGAGGCCACGGGGAGGGAAGCGGGCAGCAACTCGGAAATCTATGAACTGCTTTGCAGTGGGTTGGTTTAAACGCCGCGCATTCCCCGGAAAATGGGGTGCTGGTGGAGAGCCCACGCCGACCGAATCTGCTGGGGGTGTGGGTAACAAATGTGTTTACAACGAGTCAATCATCTGAGCCGCGCCAGTATTATAGGGGGAACTGTGAGCTCAGCAAGCGAACATTACAGTCGGTTTTTGCCAAAAAGAGAGGGGGGGAAAGGGAGGGAGGGAGGAGAGAATCAAGAGGCTCCTGGGAAGCGGAAAGCAGGGAGTGAGAAGCCAGCGCGGAAATTTCAGAGTAAGAGGTTGTATCCCGGTGGGTCGTTTTCTCCTTGGAAAATAAATCTTCCCCTGATATTATTAAGAAACTGCAGCTCCCAGAAACAATAGAATCAATGCTCTTTATTTTCTTTTAAGAGTCCTTAGGAACCGAGGTGGGGGGGCGGCGGGGGCTGATAGCCAGGGTATTAAAACCCGAAAATTAGATTTTACCAGGATTTCTGAACTCTGGTTTCTCCTGTCTTATTGAATTAGCGCCTCTCGGAGCTGGCTGGGCTCGGAGCAGGCTCCTCCCCGAGTTGCCGGCTGCGCCCTCGCCTCTTGGGAAACTTGGCACTGTGGGCGCGGGGGGTGGCCCCTGGGGGGCACTGGAGGAGGGGGTACGGGGGTGGGGTGGGGGTGCTGCCCACCCTGAAGCGTCCTCTCCCTTCCCAGCGGGGGCAGCGGGCGGAGGGGAATCTGCCTTCAAGGGGGGGTGGTGCCCGAGGGCTAGGAAGGAACGGGGCGCCCACTGCGGCCGGGTCACCTTCCCACCCTGCACCCAGGGCCGGGGCCGGAGGTGGGCCGAGCACCTGCAGCTAAGCTAGCATCTCGGTACTGGCTGCCCGGGCGCCCCCAAGCCCCGGAACGGGGACCGGCTCGGGCTCCCGGCTCCCCCCACGGCCTCTCGGCGGCCGGGGAGCCCCGAAAAGTTGAGGGCTGGGGAGCGGGGGCGCGAATGGGAGGCCTCGGCTGGGCGGCGGCGGGGGTCAGTCCTGGGGAACCGAGGGGTCGGCCGGGGGGGAGTCCGAGCTTCGGGTGGGCTGCAAAAGGCGTGCTTCGCGCAGGGGCGTGCCTGGCAGTGCCTCGGTTGCGTTTAGTCTTTGCGAAGTTGAGTGCAGGCCCCGGGAGCGATTGATACGCACGCCTTTAAGGAAGGCCCGGCGGGTGCTGAGGATGCCCCCTTAGCTGGCACCGCCTCCCTCAATTAGAAGCCGCCGAGCAAAGCGCCCGGGAATTCGTTGCCTCCCGGTTCCCCAGCGCCGCTTCCCGCGGCGCCCCTGCCTCCGCCGCCCCCCGCCCGCGCGGGCAACTTACTGGAGCGGGCGGACCCCGCGAGCCCACGGTCGCCTTCCCGCCGGCCGCTGCCGCCGCTCCCCCAGTCTGCGAGCCGCCCGGTCCGAGGTTGCGCTCTGCACGTCCCCAGGCGGGTCCCCCCGCGCCCCCTCCCCCGCTAGCCCACCCCTCCACCGCACGGAAAGAACTTTCCAGCCCGGCTGGCCGAGAGTTTCTCTGTGCAACTCGCACAGACCCAGGTTGGGGAGAGATGGGAAGGGGGCGCGGCGACGCGGGGGGGAAGGGGGAGGGACGGCCGGAGACCGCGGCGAGGAAACTGGGGTGGAGGCGACGCGCGCAGAAGGGTTAATTTCCTCTCCACGAACACATGCAGGCATCCTTGCCACATCTATCCCCAGCACACGCGCGCGCGCGCGCACACACACACACACACACACACACACACTCGCACACTCGCTCGCACGGTGGAAGGAGACCCTGGTCGGAAAAAGCCAGCCGGAAAGACCAGCTTTTCCTTTAAGATGCTGCCACAAATGCACACTCACACACCCCTCTGGGCGACTCCAGCCCTCCGCTAGTAGCGGCGGCCGCCGAATAACTTTTGCATCCGAGCCGCTGCTGGGCCGCTTTAAGTGGCTCCCGGGCCCCGGGAAAGCCTGCACGCTCACCCAAGCCCTTTCGAAATGAAACCAGGCTGGCGAAGCTGCAGCCGCTGTCCGCCCCCCCCCCCCCCCCCCCCCCCCCCCCCCCCCCTCCCGCGCGCCCGCCGGGCTCTCCCCGCCCGCCTNCCCCGGCTCCTCCCGCGCGCCCGCCGGGCTCTCCCCGCCCGCCTTACCCCGGCTCCCAGCGGCTTCCCGGCGCGCAGACCCCGGAGGCCGAGGACCGCCGCCCGCGGGCGCCCCGCCTGCCCCGGCCGGCGCTGGGTGGGGGCGCGCGGGCCGGAGGGCTCCGAGCCGCCGCTCCTCGCCGCGCCGCTCCCGCCGCCGCGGCCGTCAGACCCGGGCTGGGGAGCCCTCCGGCCGCCGGGGGGGCCGCCCGCAGCCGTCCCGGAGACGCGGGCCGGGGGAGGGGGCCGCCCGCGCCGCCCGCATCGCCCGCCCCGGCCGAGCGGGAGGTCGCCTCTAACAAGTGCAAACTTTTTGGGCCCCCTGCGCGGCGCGGAGAGGACCGGCGCGCGGGCACCGGGCGGCCCCCGGCCCGGGTGGGCTTCGCGGGGGCTCGTCGGGGCGCCGGGGCATCCCCCCGGCGGCGGCGCGGGCCGGATGGCGGGGCGCCTCACCGCCCCCCTGCGCTCCGCTCCAAGTTACTGCCGAGGCTAAATCCTCTTGCCATCTCTCCCGATCACCATCGGGGCTTTTATCTCTCGGTCTGATCCGGGCTGCGTAACTTCCTCTGTGTGGCTTTAACACACCATCCCACCACGGAGCAACGGTCTTCTTAAAGGTGCAGGAAGGAAATACTGCGAGGCTCGGGGGACGCGCCACGGCCCGGGGAGGGGCGCCGCCAGCAGGGGCGGCCCGGCGGGCCCGCGGCCAGGGTCCTGGCCTGCTCTGGGGGGTCGCTGCCTAAACATCTCCTCCGGGCTCGGGGGCCCGCGGGTCGCGGTGCGCAGCGCGCGTCCTCGGCCGGCCCGGGTCAGGCGCCGCGGGGCTGCAGCTTCCTTTTCCAAAACCCAGGGGCCTGACGGGGTGCCAGCGCCCAGGGGTGTGGGGGCTGCCCCATCGGCACCGGGGGGGGGGGCCAAGTGACTCAGTCCACCCGCCCCCAACAGCCAAGGGCTCAAGGCTGCTGCTCTGACTTCCTCTGTAAAGCGCCGCCACCCAGAAGGCCCCAAGCAGTGGGTAAAAGGGTGGGTGGGTGGATTTGGGGAGATGGGGAGGGGGAGCGATCCGAGCGCACAACCAGAGCCTGAATACCAGCTGACACATCGCCGCCTCCACCCTGATGGGCCCTGCTTTTGATGAAGCCAAGCCAGCTCGGGAGGGATGCA